TTATATATTTTGAAAGTCAATTGTGGATGTTAATTGATAATTTGTTATCAAAATTTTAATTGGTAATTTTTGTTGGCCTAACATTACTAATAGAACATACAATTGAAAATTAGTAAAAGAATTTTCATTGAAAATACATCACCAATAGAAATTTTCAACGGAATTATGTTGAAAATGCTTTTTAAACAAAAAAGTCCATTGGAAATTTTCAATGGAATTCTCCGTTGGGAATGCTTTTCTAATGAAATTTTTTGTCGAAAATGCTTTTTTAACAAAAAATATCGTTGAAAATTTCTAATGAAAAATTACATTTGAAGAGCATTTCTGAAGAAATTTTTATTGAAAATTTTTAACGAAATTTCGTTGGAAATTCATTTCTTACGGAATTATTTTCAACATAATTTTCCATCAGAAATGTTTTTTAACGAAAAATTTTGTTGAAAATTTTCAACAGAATTTTGTTAGAAATTTTCAGTAGAATTTCGGTGGAAATTTCTTCCCAACGGAATTATTACGAGATAGCCAATAGGTTATGCATTTTTTCCAACAAAATATTTCAACGGAATTTTTCATTGAAAATTTCAATTGAATTTTTCGTTGAAAATTTTCAACAGATTTTCAACGAAAAGTATTTCCGATGAAATTTTTACCGACGAAATTTTCAACGAATTTTTTCGTTTCAAATCTTTCGGAAAAAGGTATTTCCAATGAAATTTTAACTTTTTCCGACAAATTTTTTTCGAAAAAAACATGTTTTTGGATAATGAATTTTGATCCGTGTAAGATATTCGACATTACTTTAATTAAGAGAAAAAAAGGGAAATTGAGAGAGCGAGAGAGGAATTCAATCTTTCCCTTTTTTTGGGGGGCAAGTTATTGTACAAAACTCAGATAAAATATATGATATGTGCGTTTCCTTAAATAATTCTGCTATTAGTAGAAACATTGCTCGTTGGAACTAATGTAGAAAATAGGTCAATGGGCTCAAGCACAATCCACACCATGTCTTCTCACGGGAGCAAACACAACTGCTCTAGCTTTTCATGCAGTTGGTTCTCAGTTTAACAGCTAATCGCCCAAGCTTCTTGATACATTTCTGTTGCTGATCTGATAATTGTTTTGGACAAAGAAACATTTAAACTTGGAGAAAGAGATGTAGCTGTAAACTTACTTTAATGGTGAACCGCATACTGTTGAAAGCAGGCATATTAGAATAAAGGCGTATAACATGTGGAATAGATTATTTGACAAGGTGTGATCCTTTTCTTCTAAGTAACTGATGGTCCTGAGTGAATATAACTCAGCTGAATCTGTTTTCCTCTAGTGCAAGAACCTGCTTTATTAGAAGGCAAAAAGGAGAACTTTCTTTACCTAACATTGTTTGCAATGGAGGGTTGGAGACAAGGGGATTTAATTTATATGCAGCACTTTAATGGGGAGAGATTGTCCCATTGCATAGAAATATCCACATGATTTGCCTTGAAACCCACTAATGTAAACGTCAGAAACTTTGGCAATAAAATTTTTCCACGTGAAACACTCAAACCCAAAGGTCCCTCTTAAGATGCTTTCAGGCCACTGTATCAATGATGTTTGGCCCAGTTCACACGACAAACAATATTCCAGGTAAACACTTTATGCTAATCATGGACTTTCTTAATCTGGCACTTTGGAAGTCACATGATTAAGGAGGTAATTATTAACCAAACAAACTTATACTGAGATTCTCCTTTCCCTTTTTACCATGTATTTTTTATTCATTTTTGTGTTGCTCTCAGCCTTTTTATCTCTAATTTACCAGCTCACTCTACAGTCTTGAATGGATGAGTTTTTCAGCCCCTCAGTTCCCTCTTATCTCCTTATGAAGAGGATGAAGATTTTGAAGTTTATTAAGAAAAGGGAATTACTATAATATTTGTTTAACGTGTACAAGTCTGGCTCTGGCACATCCAGCATGCAGATTTGGCTTTGTAAGTGGAATACAGCTTGAGTTGCTTTTAAGAATTATAAGCTGTTTCCTTGATCAATAATTGATTCCAAAGAAAAAATTAGTTTATATTACCTTCTGCAACATCTTAGCATCCTGAATTATCCCCCAAAAAAAAATCATATTGGAAACCTCATCCGTTGATTAAATAATTAGAACTAACTGTGCACTCACAGGAGAGATGTTGTGCAGAATCTCCCAGATTAGTGATGTCTTTGGATCTAAATTTAGCTGAAAGAAGCACCCAATCAATTCACTTTAACTGTACAAGGCAAAATCATTTTGAAACACACTGCAGGCATTACATCAGTAACATGATACCGGTATTCCCTATTCTCAGGATGCTTTGATCTTTCACTGATTAGTCATTTGGATGATGAATGGATCAAGCAAAGAGAAGTCAATTATGGTATGAATCATTTGCAAAACAGAGCAGCAGCAAACCAAATATGACATTTTAAAGCTATTTAGTTCCCATAATACCAGGGGAGCTGAGATCAAGTTGTGAGGTCGAGCACAAACAATCTGAAAAAGATGTTATCAATAGACTATAGCTAGGCAATGATAATCAGCACTTCAGATAACATTAGAAAAAGCAAAAGGAAGCTAACTAACATGTTCAAGTAAGCAAAATACAGAACTATCTTGTTTATGCTTTATTCTAAGCAGCATAGTCGCAGTTTCAGATAAAAAGTAGGAACTGAAATTCAGTGGTGAATATGAAGTTGGTTACTTCTTTCTATTTAATAGGGTGGGTGGAGGTGGTAGTATGTAGGGAGAAAGCTTTGATGCTTCATGGGAATTGCTTCGGTTCTTCTCATGTACCTTCTTGATATAGGCAGCAAACCTGCCATCAATGTCCCTTTTATCTTCATGAACCATGAGAGATTCATTTCCTCCTCCTGGCTGCATCACGAATGAAATAGGCTTTGAGTTCTGCAGCTTGTTTGACCTTTGGCTCCCAGAAAATTGAGGCTGCAGCAGATCATCAGTAACCATATCAGAATCCGTTGCAGGTATGAAGTTTTCGGTTGCTTTTGGATGTCCAGTTGCTCCAAGACTCATCTTGGCTATTGAAAAAGTTGAAAGCTTAATGATGTTCACCACCATCGTCATTGATTTCTCACACAGGGACTTGTCATTTCTGTCCTCAATCATCTTTTCTCCAATACTTGTATATAAGGTTTTTGCAATCACCACCCAACTCTGAAACAACTAGATGATTAAAGACGAGCTAATGATCTGAGTATATAATAAGCCTAATGAAACGTGTTTCTGAAGCAATTTGAAAGAAAATATCAGCGGATTCATTACGTGGGTTCTGCTAACTCTATGCCATAGCCAAGGAGACCGGAATTTACTTTCTCTGGTGGGTGGATCCTTTTCTCATTCCAAGAGAATAATTCCTTTGTTGAGTGAGTAGGGTAACAATGAGGGGTTGGTCTGGCAAGAATCTCTTCTATCAGCCTATCTAAGTGCAGCATGTGCCATTCACATCGCGCGATTCTCCAGTACTCTTGATCTGGATTGCTGAATTACATATTTTCCTCTGGATTCCTGGCAAAATATTATCATAATTGATAAACATAATTCATATGAAAGATTGGTTTTGATGCTAAATTGACAACAATCCATTTAAAATCTTGTCCAATGGAAGACATCTGATTATGGTACTCGAGCGAAGTACATTGAAATGTGTTGTCAACAAGCAAGCTTTCTGGATAGCATTCAGCAACTTGCTTGTTTCAAGTAAATGTAAGTCAGATGGAACGAGATTCTCGTCTAAACTGCTTTCCACTTTCCACTTTCTACTTTCTAAATGCTTCTCTTTATTATATGGTATTATTTTTTAATCTTTTAGGAGTCACCTTCATCACAAACATAAGGAATTTTAAGACAATCTGATTTCTCTGAAGCCAGCCATAAGGTACTTTCAGTCCTTTGGGTTTGCATCATATTTTCGTACGTTTCATTAACAACTAATTAAGATTAGAAAGGGTTCTTAAAATCTTTACAATACAAGAGGAGAATAAACATACTTGGCTGCATTCTGCAGTGTGGCAACTAACCAAACCACCTCCAGAGTAAGCCAATATCAGCCTGCCATCCCAAGGCCAGGGACATAAGAAATTGGGGGACAAAAGAAAACATGAACTAGAAGGATAGATTGGAGCTTTCTTTCCACACAATTGCTTGCATAGGAGCTGAAAGCCTCAACATGCATTGTCATGTAATTACTTCTGTCGACTAGTCCAGAACTTGCAATACGCTCAGCTGAACTCAACTCAGAAAGGGCAAACCCGCTTTGCCATACAGCCAAATCTTGGTTTTGCTAGAGATCTACATTAGGACATTCTTTGTTCCCTTAAACATCAATTTACACTCTTATTACTTTCCTTCCTCAGGTTTGTTAGCTTGAAATCGGGGAAAATATTCACGTGTGATATAATTTTATATGAATTATGCATACCGCAAGAAATAAATAATGGCCACAGCATCTTCAAATTCTAAATTCAAGGATACTAGTGTCATAATGTGCTTGGCACTCTTTAACTTTGGGCAAGGAGAAATTCCATTCCTCTTGTTTGAAACAATTATCTATATTGTCGAATATACACCTAACCCAATCCATAGTTTCATATGATTACGTTTTTAGCAATTATAAGTCAGTCCTATGACATATATTCGTGTTGAGTGAGGGATTAAAGGTCGAATCAGCTCAAAAGCCTAAAGCCAGGTGGGAGGGGTGTGAATCATATTATTGCATAAGCCTAAAAGGCTTCTAATGTAAATGGTGAATCTACCAAGTTTTTAACATCGGCTATAAGCAAGGAAGGAAAAAGAGAATCTTCAATAATGCCAATCAGACAATAGTTGATGTATTTACATGAGAGAATAGTGATCAATGTAGGCAATTTTTTTATTTATTTCTTATTTCCCCATTATAAACATTAAATTTACATAGAAATATATAAGTCTGGTATGAGCCCTCTAATTCATTTAGAAGAAAGCCACGGGTTAGGTGCCACATAAGTATACCCCTCAAAATGTGCACCTGCTGTTGGTGTGGAGGCCGGTGAGTCATCTGCGGGCATTGTTGTCCAGCACTGGTCAAAGTTGGCTGTACAGTCCTTTCCACTCACATCTGGTTTAAACTTTGGCTGGATTTCTCTAGCTTCTAATTTCTTCCAGTTGATTGACCGAAACCATTTATGTTTTTTTATCTCATCCCCTCCACTAGGGCTGCTGCCCAACCTTCTTGATGGTTCCTTCTGCAGCAGCTGCAAAATCAGAAGGAGATTTGCATCATTTGCAAATTCGTAGAGGAAAAAGAAGGAAAAGAACCATATTAAAACATATTCTTACCCCTTTGAGTAACGAGTGAGCTTCGGTACTAAGGAATGGTGGAAGTTTCACTTTCTCTTGGATAATTCTTTGGTGGAGCTTCTGCCTATTTGCATGTGTAAAAGGAGGCTGCAGGAAGAGGAACCATACATAATTTATGGAAGAATATTCCAGAATTAGTTATTCAAGATGGCAGTCTCCCAACTCCTAAAAGACAAGTTTAAAGATGACAAAAATTGGCAGAGAAAGAGGGGTCGAAGTTAAAGAAACTGGAAACTCAAAATCATGCCACTCCATGATATAATTATTGTGTAGCTTGATGGACACGAGTGTTTTTTAAGGAAATAGACAGAAGAATTAACGTATAAGAAACATGGTAAACAAAATAGACATTTCAGATAACACATCTAATTACCGTCAAAATCTATGGAATACAGATACTTCACAATACCTTGTACTGGAACTAGCACGTACAAACATACTCAACCGAATGGTAAATGAAAAAGGTCAAACTTTGAATTTCGTCCTTCTACTACCTCAATTTGACAGTTTTAATTTTTTTGACCTAATTTTAATGAATTTAACCCTGGTATTTTTTTTTATTAAAAGCCAATTTAAAGACAATTGATAATAATGTTAAACTATTCACTTTTAATTTGGATGAGTTGACATTTTGTTGATGACCAAACATGCTGAGATGGACTAATTTTTTGACTACCTGACACATATCAATGCAAAAAAAACATCATATTTCATTTTGATTAAATGCTAATTAATATTTTTTTACATTCTAAAAGTAAAATTAGTATCTTTTGTTAAAAGTACAGTCTTTTGGTGCTCATGTGCACCATATGGTAAAAGAGTTCATGTTGGCATGTCATGAGATAAACCAAAAAGTCACCGTCGTCATATTTAATTGCAGACTTTTAATACCATTATCAATTGTTTTTAAATTAAATTTTAACAAAAATATAAAAATTAAAATCATTAAAATTGTGGTAGAGAGACTAAAACCAGAGCATTGAGATAGTAGAGAGACCAATTTTAAATTTGGACAAATAAAAAACATACACCTCTAGCTGGTCGATTAAAAAAAATAAACTAGGAGCTCAGTTATCCTAAGTAATCTTAGCAATCTCCTTATTCTTTAGTTTCTTGGTTGATATTTCAACATAGTTAAAGAGCCAACAGGTAACAGGACACACCTTTTCTGACCTTGGGTATTCTGGAAGGAGAAAAGGGTTGAATTAGATCCATCTATTTCCATTACTTAGCTCCTACTTGTTCCAAGAGATTATAATACAAACAACGTCCATGTTTTAATTAACTCCATAATAAGAACAAATATTTCCAAAATCAATCCAAAAATATGACCATACATCACCTGAGCCAGCCAATCAACAGTCTATCAATGTTCATATTCACTAAGTTTGAACTTGTAACTTTTAAATTCTAAAAGTATTTGTGTATTGAAAATATCTGTATATTTACCTGCCCTGTTAGCATTTCATATAATAGTATCCCGATACTCCACCAATCTGCATCCTTATTGTGGCCTTTGGACTGTAAAATTTCTGGAGCCATGTACTCTGTGGTCCCACACATTGAATTTGATCTGCTTGATTCGTCAATTTCCTTGGCCAGTCCAAAATCAGTGAGCATAACCTGAGGACAAATGATAGATTCAGGAATTGGGAATAATCTGCCAACATAAGAAGAAGAGCAGATGCATATTTTATTTTCAAGCATGTTCCTGCAACAAAAATTGAAAATATGAGCATGGCTATTACATGCCCATCAGCATCCACGAGAATATTTTCGGGTTTAAGATCTCGATGAACGATCCCACACTTGTGAAGATGTGAAACAGCAGATACAATCTCAGCGGTATAAAACCTTGCCTGATCCTCACTACACAAGACATAGGCAAAAACCAAATGAAAAAAAGTTGCAAACAGACAATTACTCGAAGTTCTGAATTTGTAACACAAGAAGATACCTGAAAATCCCCTGGCGGTATAGATGAAAGAAGAGATGACCTCCATTTACAAAATCCAGGATCAAATAAAGCTTAGACTTTGTCTGTAGAGTGGCAGAAAAGATAAGAAAAAAACAATGAACAGTGGGTACAGCTCATAGGTAATGCTCCAAGGAGATACATTTGTATGGAAGGGAAATGAAGGAAGTTCAGAATCTTTGTTAAAACAGTAATTGCTAAAAGGCCTCTTATAAATGGTTCAAACAAACAAATCGCTGAACCCTAAACCCTTATATATAATAATTCTGGCAGGATTTTCCTGTTGAAAGGAAAAACAAAAAACCCTTAAATCTTATAGTAACCATTTTGATGGAGGGTACAATCCAATTCATGAGAAAAGCAGCATCTTTAATTAGCAGATTTCAGGTTCATTTCTAAGTTATTCACATCTAAACCATTCAATTGCAGTTAAAACATAAGCCATAAAGATATTACAAAGACTCGTAAAAGGGCAAACATTTATCAAAGGAAACGAATTAAAGAGAAAAAAAGATACTAAAGCTAGATCTGGAAAAAAAAAAAAGAAGTTGAAAATTGAACCTGGAAAGAGTATCTAAGCTGAACAATAAAGGGATGAACAACTTTAGTGAGGATATTTCTCTCAGCTTTCATGTAATCGACATGGTTCTTTTTAATGATTGTATCTTTCCTCATAACTTTCATAGCAAAAATCCCATCACCATCACCTTCCTCATCATTCCTTCCATTTCTCCTCACTAGAAAAACTTTCCCAAAAGCTCCTTTTCCAACAACTCTCATGATCTCAAAATCCTCGGGCCCAAATTTGGTCTTTGCTTCTTCTTCTTCAGCTTCAGCTTCAGCTTCATTTTCGGTTTCAGTTTCCTGGATTTCTTGGATTTGGAAAGGGGGGGAAGAAGAGAGGGTGTAACGAGGGGAAGGGCCCACGTAAGAGTGGGACCTGGTGTGGATGACTTGAGGGTCCCCGAGAAAAGCTGATGGGGATGACGTGGAGGATGGTGATTGGGTGGGGTTGGGATGGTGATGTTGTTGTTGAGGGGTTAAAGGGCCAAAAACCTCGGCGAATTCAAAATCGTTGTTGGGAGGAGGAGTTATGGTGAGTTTCTTGAGGTTGGTGGCTAAAAGGGATTGAAGGTTTTTCTTTTGGGATGAAGAAGTTGATATCATCTTCGTTACAAAGGAGCTGCAACTTTTTATTCTCTTTATTTTAGAGTAAACAGAAAAAGGAAAGAAAAGAAAAGAGCCAGCCAAACAAGGCAGGCTGACAAGAACAAAGATCACATTTTAATCAAAGCACAGAGGAGATCTCAAAGAGGAAGAACAAGTTGATGAACATGAGACAGACCAGGTTGCTTTGGAGGAAAGCGGCAATAATTGGGGGATGTATTGTTTCAGGAACGCGCGCCTCGGATCGTGTGAGAATCACTCGCCAAATTATACAAATTTACATTTTAATACTAAATTGTACGCTACTAGTGAACATAGTTTTCTTCTTCTTTACGTGAGAAATAGAGCAGCATAGAGATTCAGATTCATGCAAAAATTCTTACTTAGTGATACTGTTGAATAAGATTGAACAACTGATCTTAATGTTAGGTCATGTCATTAAGTCAAAATTATTTGCAAAGTTTCTTGTAGCTCTTCAATTCGATGTTTCGATCCTTTTGGTCTAAAATCAAATTGATCAAATCAATTCGATATTTGATCAGTTTGATTTTTTTTTTTATATTTAGTCTGTTTTAGTAGATTTTTTTTAAAAGTATTTAATCTGTTTGGTCTTGTAATGACCCAAACTCGAGATTGACGAAACCAATGAGACCCGAGCAAGCCTCTGTAATTCATCACCTCAACAAACCACAACATGTGTCCAAGAAATCTCACAACCATTACAAATTCATTAATGGCTTATATTCACTCAATACAATACATTTCATCATCATCATCACACACACACACACACACACATGTATATATTGTTTTTCAACAAAAAACAAGTACTTAAAATGTCTTGACCTTTTAAAGACTTTTAGCAGCATAGCGATACGAAAAAAGAAATTTGTTATGAGATACCATTACTTGTCGAGCAGTGGATGCTGAACTTCGCTAAGGTTGCACATAGCCGATCACTAATTTGCATAATAGAGTATTGAAGTGAGTGTCACAGACTTAGTAATCATCGACTTAGTGAGCCTAGCAAAAAAGAGAAACAAGCAGAACGAAAGAACTTTTGATTTATAAAATCAAAATAATAATAGTGATGTTCAGCCATAATTTTGAAAAGGCAACCCTACAAATGCAAAAATAATTTAAATGCATAACCTAGTAATCATGCCAAAGCATATCAACACTAAATATCACAAGCATCACTATATTAGACATCAAACAAATCAATCACGAGTTCCCATATCCTACTCACAATATAATAATCATCCCTAGTACCCACGTCATGTAGTCTTTGTTAGTCCCAAATATGTGTGCTAGAGGGGGGTGAATAGTTCTTTTTGAATGTCACTAAACTTGACTTCTAATTGGGGGCTAGTTAAAGGTCAATGATGAGAAGTTAAATATTGGATGAATGAATGATTTAAAGAAAAATAAAATGAAAAATAAAAGAGGGCAAACAACACACAAAAATTTATAGTGGTTCCGTCTCTTTGACCTACATCCACTACCTTGATCTTCCAATCAAGGATTTTCAAACCAAATCACTATAATTAGTGAAATTCCTAAGCTTCTACCAAGCTTTTATAATGGCTTTTCATAGGCTCAGCCACAACCTTTAACAATGGTTTTTCCTGAGATCAACCAAAACCCAAATCTAACATTTCCTAAGTTGAGTTAAAACCTATAACACCAATCAAGCTAATAACCCAAGCTTGATTAATCCCCTTAGATTGACTCGTACACTCTAAGCAATCAAGTAGTACATATATAATGAAGTGCCTATGATCACTAACTTGATTTAAATGATACAAGATGAAGTGCTAAACTCTATTACAAAGATTGGAGTGAAGTATAAGAATGATGGGGAGAGTTTTTGCTATTTTTGAGCTCTTTTTGATCTTGGAAGCATCTTTTCTTCTTTTTAGCCGTTAAAGGTGTCTTTTATACTTGAAAGATCAACTTTGATGGATGTTGACAACTTCAGACCATTGAAAACAATTTAGAGTCAATTCTAGCTATTA